GAAGAACTGTATAGGAATAGATGTAGGAGAAAGATACTTAACATATTGAATGACTCCTCTCATCCGGGACATCAGCTCTTTGAACTATTACCATCGAGAAGGAGATTTAGGGTATTAAGAACAAGGACGACCAGATTTAAGAACAGTTTTTATTCAAGTGCAGTTTTGAGTTTGAATGCGGGGTCATAAGATTTTTGTGGAGTTTAATGGCTGAGAGTAGTGGGGTATTTACATTTTTAAATTGTATAGAGATTATTGTATGGTTGGTTGTGTTTAGTTTAATTTTTTTCTTTTTCTTTTTTAGTGGTGTTTGTCCAGTTTTACTTGTGGAAGAGCACCTCATTTCGTTGCACCCGCTTGCGAGTGTAATGACAAATAAATTCTTATGTCTTATGTCTTCTGCTCTATGAGTTTCCTGAACTTCATATCAGATTGCTATCACTAAACTACTCATGGAAAAGTAAACAGGCTTGTGTTTTAGAAACTCCTTGGTTACCTCCAAAGCTTTGTTGGATTGTCGTTCATGCGGCCTGATAAGGAGCACACCTATCCGTGGAACCGCAATAGTCTTGAGGCAACGATCGATGGAGTCGCAATAATCTTGAGACAACAATCTCAAAATCTGTTTATCATGAAGGGATGCCTTTTCAGAAAGACACCAGATGGGGTCTATCTTTGCTTCATGGTTTTACTAGTACAAATATCTGGTAAGAGATCACTTTTATCCATCTTAAGTACGGATATTTGTTCTACTTAATAATCTCTTAGAATAGTTTTAGTTTTTTAGTAACTGCTACACCAAGTTATTCTGATAGAGTCCCCTTGTGAGGATTTTTGAAAGTGAATTTATGTAGATATTTCAACAATTTATCAACTGGCACGAGTAACTCTTTTATGCACAGATTACAATCAAAACAATAACATAACTTAGAAACAAACCATTCAAACAAGAATATGAGACATTTTTAAATGTCTTTTTAAGGACCCTGTAATTTCTTGCATCGGGACAGAGACATAAGACATAAATAAGCCCATTTTCAATCAATGCAGATAAGATCCCTTACAATTCGACCGTATTCTTAATTTTCAAAATAAAGCATACCCGAGGTCTGTTAACAGGGATGACATAATTAATTTATATAAATTAATTTAAGGGATTTTGGATACATATTCAATACATTCTTATGCTTAAGAACAAGACATTGTATGAACTGATCTTTAGTCTTCTAGTTTAAATCCCAGCAACCAATATGTTTTAGTTAGCCCAACATAACTCTGCACCAAGGATCCTTTATGCCCAGTGAAATCTAGTTTTAAACTTTCCTTTCTTTAGTGCTTGGAATTTGACAGGTGCAGCTATAGAGAAGGATTGGATTTCTTATTGGACATGCCCTTGCTTTTTATCCTAAGTCTTCAGTTTTATAGACATTCCGATTCCAATAAAGACTTCATATGGGCACCATGAAACAGGGAAAATCAATATAATGCAATAAAAATCATCTCATCCATCTCGTACTTAAAAAAAAAAACTTTTTAGCAAGCCAACAAAAGCATTTCCATTTCAGAAAAAACTTTTATGGCTAATTGACTGATATCTCGTATTAATTGGCTTTCTACTTAGACTCATCTAATTTTATTTTATGTCTATTGGCTATGGAACTTAAGTATTTATTGCAATTATAATTGTGTTTAGTGATTCACTGTAAATTGCTTTAAGAGTTTATTTGGTCAGCTGCCAGTCTGGGCAGCATATAAAATTAAAAGGGAAAAAGAGCAGCCTTCCTATTGGATGAAAAGCAAATGGGCGGAGCCATCCCTTCTAGAATTCCCAACAGGAATTCTGGGATCTGTGGTTCCAATTTTTCAGACAGTATCATCCCAGCTGGATGAATTCTAGTAATTCAACCTTTACCACTCCAGGAGTCATATGAAACCCATGGTTTGTTCTGGGATAAGCTAATACATGACATCTGAATACAGATCAATAATGTGATTTACTCTCTAGCGTGAGTCTCTGTGTCAACAGGGTCATTAAAATGGTTTGTTCCTGAGTGACCTTACAGCTTTCCTTTACATCCTATATAGTGGACTTATTTAATATATGAAATGTTTATTCATTTAACATATTTATTGTTTCATATTGTTATTTTTATTATGCTGTAAGATGCCCAGGGTTGCTTGATAACAAGATAGGTGGAAAAAGGAAGGAAGGGAAGGAAAGGAAAGGAAAGGAAAGGAAAGGAAAGGAAAGGAAA